GCTCCCTTTTGTAACTCGCCAGCTTATCAAGTGACCCTTCATCTCTGCTCTTCGCTGGCCCAGAGTTCATTCCTGGGAATGACCAGCCTAATGGTCGTATGACCAGTGTAAAGTCTGCAGAACAAACCCAAAAAGCGTGTTTCCAGGAATGGGTACGTGTCTCACTTTCTACCAGCTTCATTATTTCTTAACACTGCATTTCTACATTTATTACTTAGTACACGTCTATCATCTCTTATACCACCTATCACCAGAGCGGATACATCGCTACATCGATTCACGTCCTCGAAACATCAGTCTTCAGCCTCTTCCAATTCATCTTCTTCAAGCCACTACTCTGGCTGAATTTTTGCTTGTTGCACTGATTTGAGGGAACTGGTTGGTAAGAGGAGCCTGAAACCACACAAAGCGGTATTATTTCTCTCTCTCCAGTTTAATCAGAACAGGCACGGGTCCAACACAAACCCTCGGCTGAATTTCCTACAGGCCAAACGCTGGACAAAAAAAAAATAAAATGTAAGATTGTGGTAAGCATTTATGACAACAAGCTCATCAGAGCCAACATTTCACATTTGCATCATTATTAATCCGATCTGCCAGATCTGATTCTTATAAGTCAGTCCTCCTGAAGGGTTGATAAACCATATAAAAAGCACACACTGTAAATCACAGAAAACTATGAGGATTTTTGTCGGTGGTGAGAGGGAAGAGGGAAAGGCAGATTCTGCACTTTGCTGCTCTAACTTGTTGCACAACGCCGGATTTTTTTTTTTTTTTGACCTGTACCACTTTAGAAAAGAAGTGAGGTCTAAATAATGTCATCCCTTTCAAACACAGGGGGCCAAATTCCTGACCAGCATGAAGTGCTGCATATCCCCTGGAACGGATGGAGCTACGCCAGTTCAGCTGAGAACTTGGCTTTGCCTGTCAGTTCATTCAGCAGTGATTGCACTTGACATGCAGCGCAGAACAAGCATTTGTTTTTAAAAAGAAAACAGTGGAGTCTTTCAGCACTAACCCAGCCTATAAAATAGTCCCAGTTCCAAGAACGGGATTAACTGTCCTTAGCTCGGGCTCCTACGTATCTGTGCAAAGAGTAAGGAGGAGGAAAAAAGCATGTTCTTCCCTCTTTGGCAAAGTGACAGCAGGTCTCACCCCTTCAGACAAGAAACGATGGTCTGCAGAAGCAGCCAACTCTGCTTTTCCTTAGAGCCTGTAATTAACAGATGCACTTGATGTCCTTACAGGGACCGTCACCCCCACCTGAACACCCTGTAATTACATCCCTCACCTTCACCTCACCCAAACCAACCAAAGCGCCCAGGGCCACATCACCAGTTTCTCATGAAGTTCAAAAGGACCGTGTCGGTCTCAGCTAGAAGTTGCTAAAGCCATTTTCCTACAAATTCTCCGATGGCACGGCCAGGCTTTCCCCTGGCACCCCCAGTCACTAAGGAAACAACTGGCACAGCTGGATTAGAGGAAAGCAGATGAGCCAAAACATGCTCTGGTGACCGTGGGCGATAAAATGATGGCTTTGGAGAACAGCTGAAGTTCAGAACAAGTCAATACAAATGTGCTGTGTCTGCAAGGCTCCCTCGTCCCCTCTTGTTTTGAAACCCAGGATGAAATCAGAATCATCACTTATTATCATCTTCTTTCTTGCAACATTATGCAAATGGTTAGAGATTCTCCTTGTGTAATTTCTAGCTGGTAAATTAAGTTGCAACCCTATTCCTTCCAGCTTTCTTTTTAGTTCACACATTTCCCCTGAATAATTGCATGAAACAAATCTTGCTTTGAGGTTTGATTACAAAAAAAGAAGTATTAAATAACTGAACTGTAGGTTTATGTAACAAATGTAGGTTTATGTCTCACGTAACACAAGACACGTTGAACTAAGAGAACAGAAATAGCAGTTATGAATTCAGACAACAAAGACTTATAAACACTGATTTCCTTTCAGCAAATGTTTTGCCGTATTTGCTTACAAGGCACAAATACTGGATTTCTACCAACAGATTCATACAAAGCAAACCCTATAGCTATAGCTGTGGACTTTGCCATTGTGAAGACTCTGCAAGGTGTACAGGTGTCCCTGTGTAACCACCGTGCAGCAGCTCACTCCCTCCACACAGGTTTTTAAGGGCAGAAGTCAAGGCAGAACCCCTGCCAGATCAGAAGGTGAATCCTATGAACTTCCACCCAGGGACGCCGGAGGTTGCGCGTCTGACACTGGTACACAGGGCACACTGGGCACCACTGAGCTTCCTACTGGCTTGGGCTGGGGAAAATTAGTAGAATCATAGAATCATAGAATGGTTAGGGTTGGAAGGGACCTCAAAGATCATTGAGTTCCAACCCCCCTGCCATGGGCAGGGACACCTCCCACTAGACCAGGTTGCTCAAAGCCCCATCCAGCCTTAAATGCTTCCAGGGATGGGGCATCGCAGCATCCAGCCTGGCCTTAAATGCTTCCAGGGATGGGGCATCACAGCTTCTCTGGGCAACCTGTTCCAGTGTCTCACAACCTTCACAGTAAAGAATTTCTTCCTGATATCTAATCTAAATCTCCCCTCCTTCAGTTTAAGACCACTAGCCCTCTTTCTATAGCTCCGCTCTCTGATAAAGGGTGCCTTCCCACTTCTGCACCTCAGAAAGGAAAACCTCAACAAAATGCAAAACTATACTTCAACCTGGGTTTCAGCTCCAAGGACCTCTACCTCTTCCCCAGCCTGGCTTCTCAGCATTCAAAGCACAAACTCCCAGTAGCTGCCTGAAAAGCCCAGGCATAAAGTTTACCCTTTAATTTGAGGCTTTGTCATTTGACCAGGGGGAGGTGATCAGGACAGGGCTCTGGACCGCGCCGCTCAAAACATGACAAGAGACACACCAAAACTCCAAGCTGGCTGCGCAGAGCAATTAAAGCAGTGTTTACCACTCCATGACAGTTAACACGTTGGACTGACCTTTCATTTACTGTTTAGTACTGAACATTAAGCTGCAAAATTACTCGTGCTTTGCCTTTAGTACTGGCATCCAAACTACGGGCATTAGATAGCTATTTCCACGGTGAGACACACGTTGCCCCCGCCCAGCTGTGCGTGTGCTGCTACAACCACTGTGTTTGATACTTTACATCACTTCCACAGGTCATGTATTCATCCCTTACCATTAGGAATTATTGCTAACGCTGCTCCAAAACATACAAAAGCATATGCAAAACGTCCAGGGCGACGCAGCTGGAAAAAGTGATGTCCTTTCCTTGCATGCTGGGAGAGATAAAAAGGGAAGGCTGGTGTATGCCCAGGGGTCCCCGCGGCAGCTCCCAGCCAGATGGCAGAAGGGAAGTAGAGAAGCTGCAGAGGAAAAGTTTCTTTGTTTGCTCTCCTCCTATCTGCCACAGCAGCCACGTTATAAAGGGGGGCACAAGATGAGTTTGGTGAGAGTTTGGCAGCCCAGGGGTTGGAAGATTCTCTCCAAAAGCCAACCCCATCCTGGGCTGCATCAGGAGAAGTGTGGCCAGCAGGTCATGGGAGGTGATTCTGGCCCTCTACTCTGTGCTCGTGAGACCCCACCTGGAGTACTGTGTCCAGCTTTGGAGTCCTCAGCACAGGAGGGACATGGATCTGCTGGAACAGGTCCAGCAGAGGGCCACAAAGATGATCAGAGAAATGGAGCACCTCTCGTATGCGGACAGGCTGAGAGAGCTGGGGATGTTCAGCCTGGAGAAGAGAAGGCTCCGGGGAGACCTCATAGCAGCCTTCCAATATCTGAAGGGAGCTACAGGAGAGCTGGAGAGGGACTCTGTGTCAGGAAGTGTAGTGACAGGACAAGGGGTAACAGTTTTAAACTGGAAGAGGGGAGATTTAGACTAGATACTAGGAAGAAATTCTTTGCTGTGAAGGTGGTGAGACACTGGAACAGGTTGCCCAGAGAAGCTGTGGCTGCCCCATCCCTGGAGGTGTTCAAGGCCAGGCTGGATGGGGCTTTGAGCAACCTGCTCTAGTGGGAGGTGTCCGTGCCCATGGCAGGGGGGCTGGAACTATATGATCTTTAAGGGTCCCTTCCAACCCAAACCATTCTATGAAGCAGGCAACTTTCCATTCAACACCCTCGGGCTGGACTGGGTCAGGAAGGACATGGAGTCTCCATTGCCCAGGGCGATGCTCTCATGGAGAGGCTACAGATGAAAGGCAGAGGTGAGGTCTCCAGTGCAGCCCCTTTGCCAGCGTGCTTTTGACTGACCTTAGTGCTACGACTAGGTAAAATTATGGTTATTTCTATCTATCCTTGGCTGCAATTCCTCTGGTCAGACAGCTGGCACAACCAGGACTCTGTATTTTGACAGCAGAGTTGGGATTTTTGGATCAGAAGTTGCTCCATCCAACAGGAACATGGGGTTTTTCCCTTTGCCCCCTGTGCCCTTTCCAACCATCGCTTGGTGCTGTTCCTGCTGCGGGCACCACATCTCAAACACGATGAACCTCTCTCCCCATCCTTTCTTCATTACATTTCTACATTTCTAAACCTCTATTTGTTACATCTTTTTTGAGACAGAGCGATGGGCGCTGCCTGTGAATACCAGAATAACATTCAGTTCATATCCAGACCGGAACATTAATAAATACAAATATATTAAGGGATTCCCATCCATTCATGGTTGGGTTTTTTTCATATTCATAGAGGTTATTTATATCTAAATCTCTATTTTCTCTATTGCAACTGAAGTTATCGGGCTTATTTTCCCCCCAGCTCAAATATTCCCCTTGCAGATTCAAAAGGGCAAATGTTCCACAGCAGCTCAGCGTGCTAATTATGATAGAATCGCTGCCGATGCGATCTCGCCTGCTCCTTTTTCAGTATTTCTAGACAGGTATTTAGTGCAACCACTATGACAGCTCAATGGTCAAAAATTATTATGAGATTGCTGATAGACGACAACTGAGTGTATTTTTTAAAAAAAACAGTATTATTCCTTGAATAAAGAAACCTATAAATGAGGTTGTAATCGTATTTAATGCACATTTTGCTTTTAACAGCAATTTGCCAGTTTAAACAGCATAGACCTTACAATGCTTAATTAGTGAAGAGGTTATAGTGCTTATAAAGTTGTATCTAAAATATACCTTGTTCATTCTGCATTGAACAGCATTTTTAAGACAGTCTGACATTATAATTACACGCTATAGAGTAGCAGCATGTTCACACCACTACATTAAGGCCATGTCAGCGTCCTCATCATGAACCTTTGTCAGGGACCGAGCACACCACCCATAGAAATCACAACGTGGTCTGAAAAAATACAACACCCAAGATGTGAACCTCGTACTTCAGTCAAATGAGAATAAAAATAATAAAACACGTCTAAATAAAGGACTCCACCCAAGTTTATTTTGGATGATTGCTGCCTTTGCACAACACGCTCTCAAAATTTCCAAAATGAAATTTAAAAGAAGTTAGTGGCCAGCACACACCCTGGTCAGGTTTAGATGAATCCGAGTGCGAAGTGTTGCAGAGTGGGTGTCACAGATGCACGATGACCACGTCTCACACAGTGCACGTTTGAGCACACACCAGGCTTCGTCTGTGTAAATATTTAGACCAGCAGGTAAAAAGCAGTTCTACCACCAAGTGAATAACAACAACTACTCATCTCCAGTTGCGTACACTTACTGGTCATGATGAAAGTAAACCGTTCATCACATCAGCACGCTGGCTACAGCTGTACCACACCATTCCCTACAGTCAGGATAAGAAACGTGATTTTTTTTTTATGCCATTCATGCCCTGATAGCTCAGGAGGGACGCATCATGCTGCCCACCAAGCCAAAGCCATTTGTTTAAGTACAGAAGGCGGAGGAGGCCAAATACTGTACGGAGAGCGACCCAACAGCTTCTTCAGTGAAATGCCAGAGTCTGCCTAAAGAAACTTCATGCCCTAACAGTTTCTTGGTTTTATTAACGAAATGCTTCTTATTGCCGTACAGTTGGATTAAAAGAAAACCTCTCATCAGGGATCTACTTAAACATGTTCTACCTCTGCTTAAAACAAAGCACATCTCTAAGCGCTTTCCTGAAACATTTCCCCACGAAAGTGTGTTTCAGGTGCAGAACTGTCATGGAACCACGATGAAACTAAGCGGATTAAACTTTGTAGAGCTGCAGAACCAAGCTCTTCACAGATCATTTGCTTATTTATTATTTTTACACTTCCCCATTCAAGATATTTTCCTTTTGTGACCACCTCTTTCGTTAAAACAATTTTGGAAGCACTCCGTTGCATACTTTTCAGACTGAAAAAGAGTTGCCTATTTCAAGCTTTGTGTACAATGCATAAGATATTTTCCTTTTGTGACCACCTCTTTCATTAAAACAATTTTGGAAGCACTCCATTGCATACTCTTCAGACTGAAAAAGAGTTGCCTATGTCAAGCTTTGTGAACAATGCACACACACATTTATTAATAAAAACTTGTCTAAATATCTATTTGTTCTTTGGACCAACTCCAGCCTCCCTAGGTGAGGGAGGTGTAACATGACTTACAAACCTTTCATGGAAGATTTAAAAAAATAGCACTTCAAGACAAGAAAAGGAAAACGAATACATTAAAACATCGTCAACACACGAGACAGAAGGGGGGGAAACAAAGCGAAGACATCCTGTATCAAATTCACTGCTGGCACACCTCAGCAGTGTCCTCTGGCAGTCTGCTCTCTCACACAAGTTCTAATATCTTATGGTCTTAAAAGGGAGCTGCAAAGCCAAGAGGAAATTCCACATATGCCCGCAAATACAGGTCACACACTAAAAATCCTTCTTCTTAAGGAACTGATGAGCACGCAGCCTACTCCAGCCCTCTGCCCTCTCAGACGTTCTGAGCACAGGCACCTGTAAAACAAGGGTAACAGCATTTCCCTACCTCAGAAAACTGCTAGAAGAACAAATGCATTTATGGTTGCCTGGACCATAGTCCCAGCAATAAGGGCTACATCAGTACCTAAAAGATAGTCTTGCCTCCTGCTGCTGATCCCTGCAAACAGAGCAGATAGAAGACAAGAACTGTCAAGAGTAACATTGGAAATGGAGGGGTTTATGACACTATATGGTAGTGGCTGATTTAGGTCAGCAGAATTAAGTTTTGCAATAAGAACTCCCTAAGATTTTTTTTTTTTGTAAGAGATCAACACAAGTCAGATTAAAGGATTGTACAAGAATGACCCGAATTGCACCCTGTTACTCAATGCAACTAGTAGTTTCAGAATCTGTCCACATAAATTCCTACGCAAACATGTATACCGGCTGTACCAGGGGAAAAACAGCAAACCATTTCCAGCCTCAGTTTCCATTTCTGCATTCTGTACTACAGCCAGATGAAATGCTACAGCAATAACCCATACAATCCATATTCAGTTTCCTCACATGTGATGCAAGAAGAACAATACAGTGTGATAACAGGCAGAAATCAGTTACTTATTGCATCAAAGTTCACCCGTAATCCATGGATTTCATACAGATAATAAGGGCTATCGTCAGAGAAACGGAAGATTTTTATTCCTAAATTTGAACCCCCTGTCTTTCACTGAGCCATTAAGAACAAATTCCTCCAAACTTTCAAGATAAAGTGAAGCAGAAGTTTCAGCTACAGAAACGTAGTGCAAATGTTCAGTTTGGCACTGCAACATTACGGACAGACAAGAATTTATGGTAAACTCAGTTTAGATTTGGAAAAAAAGAATCCTATAATTGAACCAATATTGTCAAATGTATTGCATACTATTGTAACTTCACAGTAATCAAAATCAGACATCAAGGTTTCTATAGAAGCAGCAATCACAGATTGCAGTAATGTATACCACTCAAGGGAAAAAAAATTGCATTTTGGCAATTTCATAGTCAAGTGTTCCTTATGCTCCTCCAACAGTCATTTGTCAGATATTTTCCTGTTTAAAAGGTGCACACTGTTCTCCTCAGTCCTCATGAGACTTCTCTGCAATGACTTTGCATTCATACTGAAAAACAAAAGTTGATGAAATTAATATTTATTTACATAAGTAATGAAAAAGACTGCTACAAGGGAGACTCTTCTACAAAACGGGTGGTAAAATAGCCCAGCTTACACTTCACTCAGACAAGTTTGGTCTCCCTAAGTTCCGTGCAGACACTGTTGGCTGCAATTTCTGTCTCCTTGAGCAGCAGGAAGAGCAGTTCAGACTCAGGGTATTGCCTCACTTCTACCCAAACATGGGGGCTCATATTTAGCTCCTCGTTCTGAACGGACTAGAAGTATGCAGCTGGGAGGGTACACAGCAGAGTCATGGCCTGTGCTCTGAGTAACAGTACTAACAGCTCACCAACTAGCTCAAAAAGCAATGATTACTGATTTCTACCTTACTCCACATCCACAGGTCAAATAGCTGGTCAGTATATATGAAGGAAGGAATGACGTGTAGATTAAAAATTTTACTAGAATGTGATTAGTGTCCCCCCCCTCCAAACTTACCATTGCCAGCTGCCTGCCAATATTGCCCATGGTTATTCCACCAGCAAAAAATATACATGGCAACCAGGAACGAACATAAAGGAAATCTGGAGACGTGTATCTGGAAAAGAACGCACATTTTTGAGCTCAATGTTGTGCAGTACATAGAGTCCCCCAGTCACATGAGACAAATCCATAAATTTAAATATTAGGACATTTCAACTAAAAAAAGACATGTATTATTGACATTTAATTACTTGCAGCAAATAAAGAAAGCTCCTTATTGATTACAAACCCATTTGTTCAATCAAAAAAGCATACTGCCTTGTTGCTTAGGTAGCAATTTTATTGAAGTAAGCAACTTCCAACCAGAAGTCTTTTACAAACCCATAAAAGCTTTCCTGAACAGTCCAATTTATGTTACGCTTATAATTAAATGCTGGCATCGTTAGAAATCATGTCAAGTTCTATCCTTTCAATTATTCTGATTTCATGTTACAGCTCCAGAAGACTGTCACTCAACCTTGGAGGAGTAAATACTTACTGATAAACTCCATTGTAGACCAGAAGTTGTGACACCAACGTGGCCAGGAAAGCAATTCCTACTCCAAGACCAAAGCCACTTCGTGATCTATCAAACGTCCACCACAGTCCAATTGACAAGGCTGCTAACGTGAGAGACAACTGGATATTGTTGGCAAAATCCACTTTCTGTGTTGATAGTTAAGGATAAGCTTGGAAATACCATATACAAGTGTAAAGCAGGTTTTTCTCATTCTGCTTATCATATTTTGGCACAACAGAAAAAAATACCATCAAAAAATCCAGCACTAGCTCTATTAGCTATCACACAGCTATCAAGCACAAGGAAATAAGCCTTGTAAGCATCACCAATACATCAGAAAACTAAAGAATTAGGACACTTCTTGACATTTTTATGGTCTTAGCACTTTACAAGAGCAAAGAGACTACACACCTACCAAATAATGCAGGTGTTTTATATGGACACACAATGCACGTCTTACTGTTCAGAGTAAGAACATCTCATCCTTACCTGGTCCTTTATGACACTAAGCAAGAAACCTTAAATCTAGCATTAGACTCCTCTAAATGACAAGGATTTACTGAAAAAAAATAATGTATTTGTAACACTTAATTGCAATTCTGTTTAATTTACATGCTAGTTTACATTCAGCTACACATTAAAAATCTTAATGTTTTCTATAAAACAAAATGTAAATAGTATTACTGTGAAAGTAGTCCTAGAAATCAACATTGAAAAATCAGTTTTGTCAACCTCATGATAAAAGTGTGAAGTCACTCCAGAGATCTTTGTAGCATTTCACATTCTTCAAAATGTTTTGGAAACACTAACTCATCCTCACTACTCCTGCCCAAAACAGATTCTTAAAAAGGAGGCTGTCAAGTTGCATAAGCCTGAAAGCACATTTATGGGATGACAACATAAAAACACTGCCCTGTTTTCTCACAAAGACCTGGAGAGAGACCTAAAGGAAGTGAGAAACAAGTTCAGCTAACTGAAATAATTACAGAATAAAAATCAATAGCATCAGAAAAAGTGTCCAAAAAGACTAAATACCATACCAAATATGGTAATGTGCAGAACTGGTAATATCCTGAAAAGCAAGCAGTCTGGAGAGCTGTCAGGGAGGAAATGCAGGCAGTACATTAATGATGTCCTGGAATATGTGTAACAGCTGTTGGGAAACTGCAGGGAGGTTTGCTGTAAATAATCTGACCCATGCAGAGAGAAGTGTCAGTTCTCATGCATTTCTGGAAAGCAGGGAGGTTGTGTGTGCTCACACAACAGGTACAGCCCAGGTTGGTGAGAACCACAGGACCAGATTAATACACCTTGGGCAGGAGAGCGAGGCTCCTGAGGGACAGTGGGGATGACTCTGAACCCCAGCAGCTCCAGCTCCAGCTCATCCGGCCACACCGGATAGGATGTCTGCTGGGAACAAAACCAAACAATAACAAAACTCATCTGAGGACCAAGCCACATCAGTAAGAATTCAGCCAGCTCTCACATCCTTCACTTCACTTCCCCTCTTTTCCTGGAAAGAGGCGATTTAGTAGCAGGCGATCAGAACTTCTTAGCACGGTTTCTGGAAATCGTGTTGGAGCTGACACTGAAGGAGGTCAGAGCTCCAGAGATGATCAACTTGCTTTTTAATTAGTTTACAATTTTCACAGACAGATCTTGGTTTTACCTGACTGAGGAGGCACTAAGCACAACTACACAAAACCACTAAGACTCATAGCACTGTCAGTAAGGTGTGTCAATCCACGTGAAAAGCACCCTGTCACCAGCTTGTCCCCAGCTGCTTCAGAATGAAGGAATGCCAATTTTGACCACACTTGTGCAAGGGTGTACCTGAATAGCTAGACAACTAAGAGGAGAATAATCACTGAATCACAGAATGAGTTGGGGTTGGAAGGGACCTCTGGGGATCATCTAGTCCAACACCCCTGCCAAAGCAGGTCCACCTGGAGCAGGTTGCACAGGAACGTGTCCAGGCTGGTTTTCAATGTCTCCAGTGACGGAGACTCTACTACACCTCTGGACAGCCTCTTCCAGTGCTCTGCCACCTTCACAGGAAAGAGATTCCTCCTCATGTTTAGATGGAGCTTCCTATGTTCAAGTTTGTGCCCATCTGTTTGTCTTGTCCTGTCACTGGGCACCACCGAAAAAATACTGGCCCCATCCTCTTGACACCCACCCTTTAAGTATTTGTATTCATTGATCAGATCCCCCCTCAGTCTTCTCTTCTTCAGACTAAAAAGACTCAAGTCCCTCAGTCTTTCCTCATGAGAGAGATGCTCCAGGCCCCTAACCATCTTTGTAGTTCTCTGCTGTACCTTCTTTAGCAGTTCCCTGTCTTTCTTGAACTGGGGAGCCCAGAACTGGACACAGTACTCCAGATGGGACCTCACCAGGGCAGAGTAGAGGGGCAGGATAACCTCCCTCAACCTGGTGGTCACACTCTTCTCGATACACTGCAAGGATGCCATTGGCCTTCTTGGCCACAAGAGCACACTGCTGGCTCAATGTGTCCTGCCTGTCCTGTCAGTAATGTCCTGAAACGTGCTGACTGACTTCTAATTGCTGTTGCCAAATGACCACAGGAATGGGAACTACTCACTAGGCATCAAGGCATCATTTGTAGGATGGGGTAACGACACTGACTGTCTGTGTGCAGTCCTGGCTGTTACCTGGTCCTGAGCTTTCCCCATTCTTTGTGAATGCACATGCCTCACTGATGACCTCAGGACTGGGTTATAACCTCTCACTACAATGTTAAAAGGACATCAACCCTTGGAACGTCTTAAAAGCAATTTTCTGTAATACCTACCACATAAATATTTCACCACACTTAATTATTCAAATAATAAATATAGACTACATAAGAAAATATTTCACCACACTTAATTATTCAAATAAAAAAAGACTACATAAGACAAAGCCCAATACTGAGCCATTCCCTATGAAGAGATTTTTCAGAACAAAAAGACACGAGACATATCACCTCCGATACTCCTATGACAGTTTAACACTATCACATGTTCTGCATTTCCCTTGCAAAAGTGCTGCATGTTATACCTTTAACAACAATTCACCGTGACTGACTGTGTGAGCTTTGTTTTAGTGGAAACCCATTTGTTATCGCCAATTTCATCAGAATATAGGATACAGCGCTGGCATGATTTATTCCCACAAAGACTGCTACACATCGCATCACACTGGACCATTCTCTCTTAAATTTATGTGGCTCTCCCAGATGTCTGTCCATGCATGGGTACAATAACCCAATCACAGCTGTGGAGACAGAAAAGAAAAAAAAACACCCAAAAGTTAAAGCAGTAGCAGTATTTCACTAAAATAAAGACTATCTAGACTTTGACAATTATTGTGACTAACAAACCAGACCTTTTAAGGATAAATAGCACAAAACGTACAATGCAAAAGAAGAGGGATTTCAAACAATTTCATTATTTAAAAAAAAGCCCTGTAAAACTTCAGCAGCATCTTCAACCACTGCAGCAGTGATGTGGCAGAAGTAGCCAAACAGAGACAATTTGAATTCAGGGAGGAGGATGAAAGAGCTCTGCCCCCTACCCAAATCTGCAGCCTCACACTGTAGTTCAAAAAGAGCAGTAATAGCTTGCAGGCTGGCACATATCAAACATCCATGTTTAAATAACCATAAAACAAACACACCACAATAAAGGGTAGAGCATGGCTTATAGTATCAATATTTTGTGTCTTCTTTTGCTGTTGTTACAAGCAGTTTTTGTTTGGAACATGTTTTTCTCTTCTTCAGTGCTACTATAAAGGCTCACACAGAAGAGGGAAAGCTAAGGGCCTGCAGCAGCTGTTGAATACAGAAAACAAACAGGACTTTCAACCCCAGGGAACTGCTATGCTCTTTGAACTTTTCTTCATAAACGTGTGCTCTACCACAACTGCAGCTGAAAAGACTGTTACCAACACCGCTGAGGCATAACACTGGTGCTTGGGGGCGGGCAGAGCCTGAGTCACGGGCAGGGACTCCAGAGCCCTCAGCCTGGCTTGCTGCTGGAGCAAATACTCTTTCTTCTGCCAGAGAGAAAACTGATCTCCAGGATTCAGGAAAATAAATCACCAGTAAAGCTGGAGAGGAAAAAAAAAAAAAACAAAACACACCACCTCCCTGAGCAATCTTCTCGCTAAAGGCATTGGGCCAAACTGATGACTAATAACAGTGACGACGAAAGGACCTCTCTCAACTCCTGATTATAAATATGCAAAATATGCACTGACTTCTCTGATTATAAATATGCAAAATACCTTTATTCTGTTCATAACAAACCATACTGCAGAGAAGTGTTCACACCAATTCCAGGAAGGATGTGCAAGTACGAATGGTAAGAAAATGGGTGAATTATCAGCATTTACCATTGAGGTTCCCTATACGTATGCTAGCAGAGAAGATAAGGAAAGAAAATGGAGAGGAAAAGACTGATAATGAAAAAGAAAGAAAGAACTGAGAACACCTCAAGAGGGGTCACTCCTGCTGGGAAAAGCCAATTAAGGCAAGAATATCTTTAAATCACATATTGCAAATGCCTAGCAGGTGACTGACTCCATTTTACAAGCCATATCCAGCCTTTCCCTCAAAACCACCAATCCATCAGAACCAGACAGGCCCACAAGTTTCTTCTGAGCTGATGGCAAGATCTAGCCTTCACTACTTCCCCACAGGCAGCTGCAAACAGTGTTCTCAGATGACCCAAGAGAGCGTAAGGTGCAGCCTGATGCCAGCAGCTGAGAGTGCCAACATTGCAGCAAACACTGCAAACCTTATGCCTTGCTGCTTCAAGTTGGGATTCTGTCATTTTCACCACCACTACTCCATACATCAAGCCTTCACCAGATGTGTTTGTCAAGACAAACAGTTTAAAATATAAAAGAAAAATGCAGTAAACGTAGGATACAAACCAAAAACTAATCAACAATCTCAGTGAGACAACAGAAAGAGGACTAAGACATCTAGCAGATAAAGCAGGTGCGTAACTGACACCATAACTTGCCAAATGCATTTCCACAGGAGAACAAAACTGACATATATTCAGAGACCTCCGTAGAGGGCTTCCCTTCAAATCAAGCTCCTCTGTGACATCTAGGGTGTAGTGTTTCAACAAGGTATCAAAAAGAAAGCAATCACACAACTTGGGAAAAAAAACAGACTTAAATATTATCATTAGCAGAAGAGCGATGCCATCTCAAAAGCTAGTTTATTGACTCATGTTATACCCAGAAACATGAGCTTCTCCATCTTATTAAAACTGATCAAGGAAGATACTGCCTTTGCTGTAAAGGTTTGCTAAAGCAGCATCCTCCCATACTGGCTGCTAAGAATATTCCCTTAGAAAGTGTAAAACTGACCCACGGGATCAGTGATCTTCCGAGCCAAGCAGAAAGCCAAATTCCATCAGGCTTGTAACATGGGATATGCCTTGATACTTGAAGATTAAAGAAGAGGGAAGAGTGCTATTTCTTACTACCTACAGTAGACATCTCACTTAAAGTAGCTAAACATGCAAAAGCCTCAAATCCCTGTGCAGTGATGGGAGAAATGAAGCATGTTCACATCATCCCACTTGATACATGAATGGAAGTGAGGTGCTCTCTTCTGCAAGGTGCCCCTACAAGCACAATCTGCATGCCAGGCCTCAACAGCCCGAGACACAGTCAGGTCTCCCAGCTTTACAGAGCTAAAACCACACCTTGAACTGGAATGAAGAAAAGTGAAAAGCTGGACCACAAAAGGGAGCATTACTCAGGGTGGTTTGCTGCCCTCAAAACAAGGTTCTGGGTGCTGCACCATCTGGCACTTCCAGAGTACATTCAAGGGCTGCCTGTAGAGCACTCTCCTGTAACCCAGCCTCAAGGTTAGAACTGGCACCACCTTCTAAAGTCTGTTAAACTTGTACTGTAACCCAGCAGAAAAAGCAAAGGTTCTGTTCTGCTAACAATATTACAGTATAACAAGTTAGCAGAACAATTTTCTGGACACGTGCAGGTGGATTTGTGTATACACGGGGAGATCAGAAGGACAGTAATAGTTCAGAAAGGGCAGGAATGCTGGGAGAGAAATTTTAATCTTCCACACCTTTTCTCTATTTTTTTGTAACTATATAACTACCTAGGTTCTGTTCTGCTAACAATATTACAGTATAGCAAGTTAGCAGAAGAATTTTCTGGACACATGCATGCGGATTTGTGTATACACGGGGAGAGCAGGAGGACAGAAATAGTTCAGAAAGGGCAGGGATGCTGGGAGAGAAATTTTGATCTTCCACACCTTTTCTCTATTTTTTTATAACTACCTCTCCACCCTTTCATCTCCACGCCAGGCACACGTACACAACTGAACTTACCTGATGCTGTGCCACAGCAAGGTGGAACCCACCAAGCTGAGGAGAAGATGCTTGTGATCACATCAGGGGGGAAGAGAGTAACGTTTCTCTGGATCTGAAGTAAGTTTAATACTAATGCAAGAAATACGCCAATAAAAAACAGCACTATACCACGAATTACCAAATTCATGCCACGACTGGTTACAGATGAAATGTAAGGGCCACACTTTTTTGGTAAGGTTGGCATTGCATCGTTTTCTGCCATGACTTCTTATGTTCTCAGAGACATCCAACAGGCTGACTGAGGAGGATTCACTTGCAATCAGTATGTCAACTCTCCTCAATTAGGAGATGCCCAAACCCTGAAAAATAATAAAAAAGGGTAAAAATGCAGACACAAGCAACATAACATATATTTGTCTTAAATATATTGGAGTTCAGGCTTAAAAAAAAATGGCTATTATATTTTTCTAAATTTTCTGAGGAGGCAATTAGTCATTTGAGAGCAGAGCCAACCACAGCTGCAATAACGCCTTACAAAGAAAACAGGTTTTACAAATAGCTTTGTCTAGTAGGAGACAGGAGAAGGAAACATGTGGGATGAGACAGCTAGGAATGTGAAACCACAGAGCACAGGTGAAGAAATGAAACCGATATCAGATGGAAGGCAGGCTTGCTTTGCAGTAACAATAAACTGTTTTTCTCCCCTCCTTTAAGCAATAACAAGAGATTGTGTAATTCAGAAGCAAGTAAACACAGCTCTCAGTTTCAAATCAGCCACAGAAGTTCACAGATCCCTCTCTTGAAGAGACGCCAGAAAACATTTCTCAACTGGAAAGTGAAATCTGAGAAATATTTTTCAGAATGGAGTCAGAATTTCAGCAATCACACAGTGCATCCATTTTCATAACCCCGGATAACAGCAAAAAACTCAGCAAACCAGAGAATTAATCTTAATACAGAGAACTTTACCGAAGTAACACGCTTTCGGTGAAAACCGCCATATGTTGCTACAAACTGTAATTGTAATCAGGAATAAAAAAACCTGAGAGAAGGGAACCGGTGCTCCCCCTGCCTGTGCACTAGGTAGCATCCTACATGAGTAACTGCTGGCACTACAGGAATGACAGAGTTCCCATCCCAATCACTCTTTTTTAAAAAACCTGTCCATCAAGAGTCTTGTTATACATGGATCCAGTGTCACATCCATGTATAACAACGCTTGTGACTGACAGCTTAGCCACCTGGAACTTCAGAAAAAAAGCTCTGACATTGTTTTTAAATTTGAAACTGCCAACTGGTGGCGGCTTCTGTTAACTCTTACTTATGGCCACACAGGCACACGGGGAGCCAAAGCAGCGTATCCATCCCCCTTCCTGGCACTGGCAGATCCCGAGGAAGCTCTCTGAAGACGCAACGACGGTGCAGAGGATGCAGTGTTCACTTTTGCTGCCTGAAAGCCAAAAGGGAAGCTAAATACATCCAGAAAAGATACTACAGGTAACTCCGCAGCAGATGCGATGCCACAGCATGGCATCCTCCATCACTCAGAAGAAGTTCCAAGAGGAAAAAAACAAAGTTCTGACCACAAGTAACTTCCCACTGGCAGTTCAGGGAGGCAGCAGAGCCCTCCTAAGAATACAGGATCTTTTCTACACAGCTGATTCTCCACGTTGTTTGTAATCATGAGCACATCTTCGGGGGAAAGAGGGCAACCACAGTGTCTGGCTTCTGAGTCAGCATCCTGACTCACACCAAAGAGATGTCTGCATCAAGGCTGGCACTGGCACTGCAACACACTTCCCTCAAGCAAAAAGGAGGCACTCCAGAATTTTTTTTTCCCCTCCTCCGCATGGCACAGCAGTGGAGCTTGGATAATACATTTAGCCTCCAGAAAAGAAAGCACGGAGTCACAAATACATCACAATTTCAGCTGAGAGCCTCCCCCTTTTTCTGTAGGCTTCGCCCACCAGGTGATCACAGGAATTCCCAGAATTTACAGAAGTCTTTTCAGTACACGGCACTGGAGATTGTAGGTCCCAACTGCAAACTCCACAGGAACACTGACCTAACAAGGGGGTTTAAACTGTTACATCCCTTCTTAGCTTTAGCTTGCCTAAGAAAACAAGCCAAACTCTTGACTCCCCGCTTACTTCACCATCCCAACAGCTCTTGGCACTTCCTGAAGTCTGTGGATCCCTTTTTTTTTTTTTAAATGCATGACAAGATCTGATGCTTACAATCCCAGGTTCCGCTCCCACAGCTTTGTACAAAGTTCACACTTCTGAGTCTCTCTTTAAACGAGCTCTTCTGATGCACACTGAGGATCACAAATTCTTTTTCCCCTGTCATAAAGTGGTTGCTCACCTCCTGGGATGCATCGCTACATTCAAATCTCTCTTCTTTCCTGTTATTGAACTCCTTGATCCTTGTTACCAGCCCCAGACCTCGCACACTGCATTTCAGCCCACAGGTATCACTTATTTGGACGCAAAACATCACTCCATTTTCCCTGTAGGATACCTAAGTCCTCTCTGGCCCTGCAAATGGTTCCCAGCGTTGGGTCATCCGCAACCATCATTACTGCATCCCATTTTGCATGCCAAGATCAACTAAAATACTGTGCAAGAGTGGCCCAGGTCCCTACCTTTGATGAAATCTATTAATAATTTCCCTGCAGCCATTATTTCCCCATTTTAGACCATCTCTTCATATCTCCCTCTAACAAGGCTCTCCTTCTTGTAATTCTTCAAATACAATAATCTCCAACTAAATTAAGAATTATCAACTGTCCCACACGGCAATACTGACGTAAACAACAATCAGATCTTACTATTTTTTTTTCCCTAGAAATGCTGATGAACAAATAAAAGTCCAATTTTATTCTGGCATAAACCAGTTCCACAATATAAAACCTGCATTTACCTGATTTCCAGGCAAATCTATGATATTTAATTGTGATTATGCATCAAAATGTAACAGGGATTTTCTATGCAAGAAAAATCGCTTCCTGCTTTTACACAACTACTGTCATTCAAGGCACCAGAAACAGATTTTTACCATGAGGTAAATAGCCTGACTACAGCAAGGGCACTTGGGTGGGTATACATCAGTGAACGTTTATAACAAGTAATGCAAGGTCCCAAATTAGCATGATGCAGTAGTTTCCATCCTGGTTTCTCACCCTACACATATTGTTCTGATTTACTTTAGCCCGGTTTCCAAATTTTCTCCATTCGTTGGCTCTGAGACTTTCTGGCACACCACAAAACAGAGCAAGGTGACCAACACTCACGTGAAGATTCTTCAGTGCCTCCGGAGAGCCTGGGTTCATGATGTTCAAGCATGGCAAAGGTATTCCCTATCATCACCTTTCATGAAAACAGAAATTAAGATGTTGAAAGACAACATCATCTCCTTCTTCTAGCCCGGGAGGCCCGGCGACAGATGAGATGCCGTCTCTCCTTTTAAAGCCTGTGTTTTACGGAGGGTGTGCACTCAGATGGGAGCAGCTCGCGTGTTGAACCAACACTACTGCTGAGCCTTCATCTCTTGGGAACGCACACCCCAAAGCTGTAACACCAGGCTGAAAGCTACAGGCTTGGCGCTGCCACAGCGTCCCAGCTGTGCTTTCCTCGGCGGCACAGGGCTTCCATCCAAGCTCTTTCACATACCACGCGAGAGCCTTACGTGCGATTCACCAGGCGACTGCACGACGGCTGGCATCGCGCAAGAGAACAAAAAAAAAAAAGTTAACAACTAAATTATCACCCTAGACATTCTCAAAACACTTAGTCACTTAACTGTCTTCTAATTAGAAGATCCGTCCTGCGAGTGCTCCCCAGCGCTCTTCGTGCCGGTGAGGAGCCTTCTGCTGTGCTCACAGCTCCCGGTGCCACACAGACACACTGGGCACAACGCGGGGTAGCGGGGGCCAAGGGAGAGAAGATTTATTTAAGCAACACCGAGGACGGCAAAAAAAGGCGAAATGACAAGAAACCAGCTGTCTTCTGGGAGTCAACACCAAAAGCAAGCCACCCTCCTCCTCTGGGCGAGGCGGCTCTCCAGCCCGCTCCGCACCGGACCCCCCGGGCTCTGAGGGGGTCCTGCCCGGCTTGGGCAACGAGCCGGTCACCTCAGGCCAGCGTTAGCCCCTCCAGCCCAGGCCGGGCCCGTTAACCGAGGCCCGCCGAGGGGCAGCAGGCCGGGCCGCGCCGGGCCCAGCCCGCAGGCAGCCGGCCCGAGGGGAGCCTCGCCGGGAGGAAGGTTTAACCACTGCCGGGGATGGAGAACGGCTCCCACCGCCTTCTTCCTCGCCTACCCTCTGCAGCCGCCGCGGTCCCCCCGCCCCGGCACAGGTAGCCCAGCAGCGGTGGGGCCCGGCGCCACCCCCGCCCCGAAGCAATGCTCCGGCGGCGACGGCGACACTCGCCGGCGGGGAGGACGGGGAGGCTTGGGGGGCCTCTGCCCGCCCCGGCCCGGCTCGTCCCCGCCGCCAGCGCCTCACTTAAGCCACCCGCACCCCAGCCACCGCAGCCCCGGGACTCACTCGGCCTCCGCCATCTTCTCCCTCCCCGCGCCAGTCCCCGCCCCGCGCAGCCTCCCCAGCGCCCCGCCGGGCCGCTGACGGGGGCGGCGGCGGAGCGGGGCCTGGCCCGCTGTCAGGCGACGGCCGCTACCCGCGGGCAGCCGGCCAGCGCTCGGAGGTACGGGTGAAAAGCGCCCTTATAGACGGAAACTATGGGAGGTTCAGTGACAGAAACGTGGGGAGGTTCATCCCTGCTGCGCTGCTGGGGCGCGTTACCGACATGACAAGGCAGGTGCTGGGCACTGGTGAGGCCCCACCTCGAACACTGTGTCCAGTTTTGGGCCCCTCACTACAGTGAGGGACGTTGAGGTGCCAGAGCAGGTCCAGAGAAGGGCAACGAAGCTGGTGAGGGGTCTGGTGAACAAGTGCTGTGAGGAGAGGCTGAGGGAGCTGGGGGTGTTCAGCCTGGAGAAAAGGAGACTGAGGGGAGACCTTATTTCTCTCCACAACCACCTGAAAGGAGGGTGTAGAGAGATGGGGGTCGGTCTCTTCTCCCAAGTGACAGGTGACAGGACAAGAGGAAACGGCCTCAAGTTGCACCAGGAGGGGCTTAGGATGGATATTATGAAAAAATTCTTCACATAAAGGGTTGTCAAGCACTGGAATAGGCTGCCCAGGGAAGTGGAGGAGTCACCATCCCTGGAGGTATTTCAAAGACGAGTAGACGTAGCTCTGAGGGACATGGTGTAGTGGTGGACTTGGCAGTGCTGAGTTGATGGTTGGACTCAATGATCTTCAAGGCCTCTTCAAACCAAAACAATTCTATGATTCTGAGTGCTGTTAGGCTTTTTTGTACCGTGCGTGTGCTTCCAGCCGAGGTGGGTTGTGCAATGTCCCTCTTACACTATTCAGTCACAGTAAACGGAAAGGTGAAATACCTGTTTCCCAGCTCAAACTGCTGGCCTGGCACCGGCTCTCCTCACCACCTGGTTCAGCAAGGACTTTCACATCTGCTTATCGCTACTGATTGGGGCAAAAATAGCACAGATCATTACTTCAGAAACGGCATTTTCATCACCAGTCTCAGGCCTCTCGGGGAGAAAAGACAATGTGAAACAGAAAACATTTTGCTTTAACCTGTCTTAATGAGTAGTAAAGGCATCACAATAAAAAAATACCATTTATTGTATATATGTTCAGAGTGATACAGGAGAATAATGCTGTTATATTTATTTATGTCATATATTAATTCTATTCATTATTATTCATCTATTGATGAACTTTTTCCTTTCCTGTTGCTCTGATAATGAATACAATTTGTTAAAAATATTTGCACATTGCGCTCCCCCAAGTTTAGTATTTCATTGCAGAGCCTTTGACAGAGCTTTCCATAATACAAGGTCTGCAGTGATTCAGTGCAGATCTTATTACAGTTCCCAGAGTAATGATGGGTAGGATGGAATTTGTAACTTTATTTACTACACTGGCATATTTAGTGATAACAGTGGTTTCTTTGTGCTGGTGTGTTGTGAACAACAGTGTCACCAAACATATAAACTCAGACGAGAGTATATGGGTCTATAAAAGACATATTAAGAATAGAAAAGGCAGAGATTTACAGCAGCAGAAACCCATTGTGGTTTAGATGAGCAATAAATGAATTTTCAAATCATTCAACTTTGGTTTTCGTCACACTGAAACAAAATCTTTTTATTCTCAGTAATTCCAGCTGAGCTCCTTGCCCTGTCTGTGGTTTAAATAGTTTTTTTGCTGGACTTAAGTCCAAATTTTGGATCAAGAAAGACAAAAGAGTTTTTTAAATCAAATAAAATAGCTTTCCCTAATGTCAGATAAACGCCTTTCGCCAGCCACATGCCTGTGGCAGAGCAAAGCACCTTTAGTGCCTTAAAG